GGATTAACACTCTAATAACACCTGGACGCCCGGAATATGCCGAGACGTCAAATTTGTTCGAGATATCGTACGTTCGTATGCAAGCAAGCATTCCGAATCGTGCGAAGACTGCACGTACGGAAGTCGAGTCATTTCCTGTCCTTTGTAACTTGTTTAGCAAATAAACGTTTGATACAGACGCAATGAGCCGACATTTGCACTTTTTTTCATGAAACAAGCCAATTATAAACCAATTTAGATTATTCATGATTTTACTTATTTACTTGATTCTTATTGTTCAAACATTGTATATTTTATTCACGTGGGGTCAGAATACAATGACGAACTCAAAAAGAGAAAAAAAAGATTCAATTTTATAATAGGAAACAAATTGGAAGAGGAATGTTCAAGAATGACATATCACGTAGTAGGGTTTTCACACGTGGGTGTTCTGAATCCAACCTTGACAACTTGATTATCCGATGTTGAAATTAACAAGACAAGGATAAACTCCAGGGGGATAAACCAACCAGTCGACTCCATGAAGAATTGAACAACACAATTCAATGCGCATGCTTGATACCATACCCGCGATTATTTTACCTGTGATGCAGACCCCTCCCGCCATCCCTGTGTACATTAGTCATAAGGCATATACTAGTACTAGTACTAGTACTTTAGTTTCATTCAGTTGAACTGCCGTTTTTTGTTTTTTTTTCTAATACTAGTAGAAATACTAGTAAATAAAATGTGCTAATAAAAAAGCTATGTTGGCAAAAACTTGAAGGATCATTTGAATGTTTGCAAGCAAGTCCACTGTGTCGAAAAATACGCATGGGACAATCTTATTCATTGTGATTCTGGCACGATAATATGTAAGTGTCAACGTGATTTAAAACCTAATGATTTTAGGCCTGGATAAATTGGTACATGCCATGCCGAGTAATCATTAGCATTCAATAGTGTGTTTATGTTTGCAATGATGTTTATAAAATGATCAACTTGGGGGTATAAGGGTTGATGACAGATACCCAGAGAGTCTTATACACAATGCTTGAATATGAAAACCACGTTCAGAGTA